CTGCCAGTGACAGGCTGTTGCATCCATAAAATGCAACCTATTTGTTCTGACAGTGTATGATTTCTATTAACATTACAGAATAGAACATGATCTATATTATCTTTCAACGTTCAATTTAAATAAATGTAATTGTACAAACTATGTAGGCTACGATTTCAATTTGTTTATTGTGAAATAACTCAAACATATGTTTTTTTCTGTCCTCTGATAAGCATTGTTCAGGGCTGCTATTCCCAAAAGCTTTAATGCTTTATTATGATACTTTTGGGAAACGCAGCCCTGTCTGAATGCACTGTCAGAAGTGAGTGAACGCTCTTTGATGGATTGGTTCTGTCTTGCAACATTAAAAAGCACCTTAGTATCGATATTTTTTGTTTGAGTAGCGATACTTTCGATATTCGCGTCAGTATCGATATATCGATACTTAGGATCGATACGCCCATCCCTAGATATTAGTACTAAGAGTCTTGAAAATGTACCAGTTGCTTGTGAAAATTCCGCCAAAGCAATTAAAAAAAACTGTAAAACAAAAAAAGGCTTTGAGTGTGACAAATGTGTTGTAGTGTGTGAAAGTATTAAATGAAATAGTATAGTATAATTTTAGGCTAATGTAATTGAAATTTAGCAATGATGGTTATTTTTTCCTTCTCTAAAAAAAGATACAAGAATAGATATTATGATGATCAGATAAACCCAGAGGTACACAGACTGCTCGGGGAAGCGCACTCAAGCGGAGTGAGCATAGCTCTGGTGAGAAGATGGGAGAAACTGTGGCGACACTAAAAGCTCTTCCATCTAGTTCTTTGCAGCAGATGCATGAGGAAGTTCTCAAGGACACCAGTGGCAGTGATGCTTACAGCCAAAGAGATTCGGCAGCACCTGAGATAAATCTGTACCTCTCTGAGCCTGTCATCCCAAAATCTGGAGATTCCCTGGTGTTTTTCATAAAGAAAAACTTGCCTTACCTAATTAAGTAGGAAGGGGCCAAAGGACTACTCTGCAGCTTGACAATCACTTAAATCATATTTCTGTTAGTTTTTTTTTTTTTTTTTGTATCAGACTACTCTATTTTGTTCTTTTTGGAGTTTAAATGATTCTATTTATTTTTTCCTCTTCAGTCTTATATTGGACCATGTTTAATTAAACCATATGAGTTACATCAGACTTATCCATTTTGGAGTTTAAATGTTTCTATTTTACTTTGTTCTCTCTAACACTGGACAATGTTGAAATACTGTACACCTCATGAGTTGCATCAAACTACTCCATTTTGTTCTTTCAGTAGTTTAAATGTTTCAATTTCTTTTTTTTTTACTCTTCAGTCTTATATTGGACAGTGTTTAATTAAACCATACGAGTTACATCAGACTTCTCCATGTTGGAGTTTAAATATTTTTGTTTATTTTGTTCTCTCTAACATTGGACAATGTTTAATACAAATTATAACAATTTGTTCTTTTGGGATTCTAAATGTTGTTTTTTTTATTAATTTTGTCCTGCTCCGACTTGTATTGGACAATGTTTAAGTTATATCAGACTTCTCCATTTTAGGAGATTTAATGTTTATTTTGTCCTTCACAGTTTGCTATTGGACAATGTTTAAATAAACCTTGTGGGTTGCATCAGACTGCTCCATTTTGTTTATTTAATTTTGTCTTATATTAAAGTATCCTGATATGCATAAACCCCATTTTAAAGGCATATTAAAATGTTCACTGTATAATGAATACTTTTTTGTCATTATTTAGAACTGTGTTAAAACAATAGTTACATTACATATATTACATAATTACTTTAAAAATATAACAAAGGCAACATTTATAGTATTACTTTATCTGAAAAAAAGGTTAACGGTGATCAGAGAGCTTACATATCAGTTATATAAAGCTTGAAGCATCAGAATCGGCATCAGTATCGACCGATCACCATGACAAGAAATCGGTACTCCGTATCGGCTGCAAAAATCCTGATCGGAGCATCCCTAGTCCGGAGGAAGACTCCATCGAGCAATCCATCTTGTGGGAGGTGCTCCAGGATGCATGGGGTGAAATCACATCAGTTTACCTTGAAAAATTGACAGCTAGAATGCCTAAGGTCTGCCAGGCTGTAATTGCTGCAAAAGGTGTTTTTTTTTATGAAGGCAAAGTTTGAAGAACACATTCATCATTTCCATCAAAATCATTATTTCTAACTCTGACAATGTCAGCATGTCCTGTTCTTTTGCTATATTTCCTATTCAGACTAATTTCATGTGTGTTTCCATGGAAAACAATAACATTTCTAAGTGATCCCAAACGTTTGAGCAGTAGTGTATATTTTTGTATTTTTAGTGTAGTATAGTAGTGTATATTTCAAGAGTATTTTTGTCTTGTTTTTAGTATAAATATCTAAAAATTCTTGAATCAGGATGCATTTACTTGACAAGTAAAATGACTTAAGACACAATGTCTTGTTTCCTGAAAAAATTATCCAAATTGTGTTAGTTTTTGCTTAAAACAAGCAAAAAATATCTGCCAATGGGGCAAGAAAAAATAATCTTAATTCAAAGGCTAAACAAGATTATTTTTCTTACCCCATTGGCAGATGCTTTTGCTTGTTTTAAGCAAAACACAATTTGGACATTTTTTTCAGGAAACAAGACATTGTGTCTCAAGTCATTTTACTTCAAGTAAATGCATCCTGATTCAAGAATATTTTTATATTTATACTAGAAAACAAGACAACAATACTAAGGAAGAAAATCTTTTTTTCTTCCAAAATTTGTTTTTGCAGCTTTAAGTTTTATAACCTTAAAGAATTAAGAACAAACACCAACCTATTTGTTGTTCAATATCTTCCTGTTTTATTCCGCAGGGCTCTGGATCATCCATGTTTTCAATTTTCTCTCACCAACTTTATCTTCTTCCCTTTTAGGCTAATGGGAACATTCCAGCATTTATTGGTAAACCACTTTGAAAACACTGAACTGTAGGTGAATGGCGGTAAAAAAATAAATCA